GTCTCCAGAGGCAACAGAAACCGGCCGCCGCTTAGGTGGCAGGCTGCGCAACACCTTGACGCCCTAACCAGCACAATACCAATCCCTACCCAGGGCCAAACAAGGGCCCCAAGCCCCAGCTGGCCCCAAGGGCGAGGCAAATGCCGAGCAGCAAGAACCTCTACGGGAATGGTTCCCGAACGCCCCAGGGAAGATAACCCTGTTACGCAAGGGCAGTACTCACAGGGCGCTTAGGGAAGTCAGCCACTAAGCACATGCAGCCCCGGCACTGATGAAGTACTCCTGGCCACCGCACACCACAACACACGGCAGTGAACGCCACACAAGGCAAACACCGCCTAGGAAACTGAGGCCAGAGAAGCGTCAATCCCGGTTGACATTAGCGAACGAACTGGAGCTTGGCAGCCGGCGCGGTAGGTCCGGGGCTCCCCCCTCCCCCTCCCGGGGTGGGGAGGGCTGCGCGGACGATCGGCGCGGCAGTAAAGTGTGATGTTTGCTTGTTTGCTTGTTTCCTTGGGATTGTAGGGAGTTTTCTACCTCTCTGTTCGGTTTTTGTTGTAGTTTCTTACCATGTGGGGTTTGTTTTGTTACGCCTACCTTTCTGGGTGCCTAACCCCGGTCGATGGCAGATAAGGAAAACCCCCAACCATATGGGGTTTTCCAGGGCCATTGCTCCCTGAAACCTCTCTGAAGGGGCCAGGTTCTGGCGCTGGTCCCTGGTAGGTCTGAACTCCTTAGCTAATGTCCCGGTCTAACATAACACACATTAGCCCGATAAGCTCCAGGGAGCCGTAGGGGCTCCCCACAAAAGAAACAAAAACAAGGCGACTTGTGGAAGGAGGCCCCAAGCCCCAAGGGCAGTACTTACAGGGCGCTTAAGGAAGGGGACCCTAAGCACATGCAGCCCGAGTACTTGTGAATATACCCCCAGCTCGCACACCAACGAAGCAAGAACAGAGAAGAAACACCGGAGCTGGAGGTACACAACCGAAGCCCACCAACGCCAGCCAAGAACTGACAGGCTCGGTTAGCCGGCGGGGGGTTTGACTCCCCCTTCCCCGTCCCGGGGTGATGGTGGTTGCACAGACGGTGGCTCATTGGTAATGAGATGACATCATGCTCATTTGGTTGTTATTCTTCATGGAGAGTTCTATCCTCTCATTCGGCATTTGGTAGCATTTCTTTACCAGAATAGGGGGGGGGGAAGTGTTTTGGGGTGCCTATCTTTCTGGGTGCCTGACCCGGTCGATGGCAGACATAGAGTACTTCTAAGCTATATTTGAGGTCTATCTATAAGCATTGTTCCTCGCACCTTCCCGGGGAGGGGGGGGGGGGGCAGGTTCTGGCTCGTGGTTCCCAGTAGGCCTAGAACTCCATGTACATTCACTGATGCACTGATGCCCAAAGCTTGTACATCCGTATCAGCCGGATAGCTCCGGGGAGCCGAAGGGGCTCCCCCAGAAAATGTAATAAAATTTAAGGAAAAAAACCCAGCGTTGAATGTAATGAAAGGCCATATTCTGGGTGAGACAGAGCTTATCCAGGCTTCCCAGAGCTTATCCAGGTTGATATGGAACTACAGTATTAGATTTTGGCATCAGTGTGAATGAGTTCTTAGGCCTATCTGGAACCATGAACCAGAACCTGGCCCCCTTAGAGAGGCCTCAGAGAGGCATGAGGAGCAATGGCCTATAGAAATGCACATGTGGTTTGGAGCACTCTGTCATTGACCGAGTTAGGCACCAGAAAGATAAGCATCCTAAAACAAACTCTTATTCTGGTTGAAACTACTACTAAAAGTCAAACGAGTGGACAGAACTCCCCAAAGAAAAACAAGCAAACAGGCATGATATCACCATGTTGCCACGCTGCCATCTGTGCAGCTCCCCCCCCTCCCCGGAAAGGGGAAAGGGGAGCCCCGACCCCCCCCCCACCGGCTACCCACACCTTCAGTTCGAAGGCTGGATGTCAAAACACATGAAATAACCGCCGACTGGAGGGAGGGAGGGATGCCAGGGAGTCTCCAGGTCTCGCCCAGAAAATGGCGTTTCACTAACATTCAATGCTGATTTTCTGAGGGAGGGGGGGAACCCATTCGGATCCCCGGAGCTACTTACCAAAAGACAAAAACAAAAGGGACTTACCTGGGAGGCGGTTGGCACCCACCCCTCAACACGAAGTCGAGACAACTTACTGCATCCACCGACCCAAAGCGACACAGGCCCGACTAGGCCCCGGAACATTGACCAGGTATTACGCAGCCAGGACCCTATTCAACCGCTAAAAACCCCACGCCCGAATGTCAGCCCAAGACATGTTACCAAAGATGGCAGCAAGAGCAGCAAACTTACGAACATCGTGGGCACAGGGACAGACAGCAGGCTGGCTAGACCAAATAACCCTACGGACGACCTAGGAAACCTGAACCCTCGAATATGGAAGAAAAGAAACTGGATCAATAAAAGTGTGTCCCCGGACACAGAAGCCATGGCGCGCAAATAATGGCAGGGAGCCGCAACCGGACACAACACATGATGCACCCCCAGCCTGACCAACAACCCAAGGACCCCTCCAAAAAGCAGCCATCTCATTCTTCTCCAGAAAAGGAGGAGACATGCAAACGAACAAACCTATCACCAGAGACAAACAGCTGCAGCTTGCTGCCAGCGCCGCACGGTACGAGGCGACAGTATTTGGCTTAAGATGATGGTTCTGAAATAGCCATGAGAGAAAGGACAAGATCACCTGAACAGAAAGCGAAGTACACCTACGAAGAGACAAAAAAAGTGGAAGGACAACCTGGAAACTTCACACTGCCGCCAAGACGAAGCACGCAGGTGGGACACCATTAACTAAGCCACCCGATCACCATACAGCTATACACTGTAATAAAGTAGATTCATTTAGTGAAGCCGTTCAATTGACAATTTGACACTATCACGTGCCTGGCACCTCAAGGTAGGCAGAGTGCTGAGTGTGAACTCACCACCACACAAAATGTTTATACTCTTTTTCAGCTTTCTGACCTTAATTTTTGTATTATGGCCAATTTGGTCATATTGGCTGTACTGGCTATGGTTCAATTTGGTATCAAACTGTTTGCAATAGAATGCTCTAAGGGAATATTTGCATATAAGAACATATAAGTCACTTTTCTATACATGAGGCCTGCCGCACACTACAAGGTAGGCCATGCATTACCCGAGAGCTCACCACCATACAACGTTTATACTCTTTTTCAGCTTTCTGACCTTAACATGTCTCAATTTTCTACACTTTAGACCCACCACGCACTGCCAGGTAGTCAATGCGTTGCCTGTGAGCTCACAACCACATTCAAATATTTATAAAGTACTCTTATCAGCTTTCTGACGTCAATATTCATGCTACGTTGTTCAATTTAGTATCAAACTGTTCGCAATAGAATTCTCTAAAGGAATATTTGCATATAATAACAAATATTAGAACAACATTACCAATACCATAAGATGTGGTACATCGTCATATGAACAACACCTGCTTTTCCTCATTGTTTAGTCATTATTCATTCCCGACATTGTTTACGACACCATATCATTAGTTTTTGTGTTGCTTCCTTCATAAGTGTTTGTATCACAATATCATATGTATACAAAAATTAATAAAAATATCTGTACTTACAACCCAATGATTGTTTGTAGAGCACGAGTTGAACATTAGGTAGAACCCCTCCACCTGCTCCAGAAAAAGGCGTCCTGAAGTTGCTCAATCGATGTTTTATAGGTGGGGGATGGTGGGTAAGCATTACCGCTTAGCCACCACAAATGTCCTCTTGCAATAGTACAAGCTGTAGCATAGTGCAGCACACAGTGCCACACCACACAACTCGCACTTATACCTGTGTCCATCCTTTTACTAGACTTGTAGCAGACACGACACCTCAGAGCTTTCTCAATGCAAATTATTTCATGGGTCAAGTTGTTGCTCAGACGTTCAGGTTAATCAACAATACGAGGTCTTCTCCTAGCAGCAGCACCATTAGGAGTTGTCTGAAGTGCGTCTTCAGGGTCAGATGATGAATGTTCATTTCTAGGTGAAGAAGGGAAGAGTGGTGGCCCTCACACCTGATGGTCTGGGTGTTGCAACAGTGTCACCCTCAACAGCTGTCATCCTCATGTACATCACCAGCATGTATGATGTGGTCATTGTTGAGAGGTCATTCCTTATATCTAAACTTCTCTAGTGACATCATGATTACTTCATGGAACTGGAGGAATATGAGTTTCTTGGTCGGTATCTGTTTTATAGTACAGTACTTGAATAACACAAAAGGCCACGGCGGTCGTGAGTGGGGTTAAGAAAACAAGGGCCTTCAGCGTGGATGGCCGCCCACGCTGCAGGGTGGGAATGCCACATGGGATTTACAGAGCATGGGAAGATATTGGCACGCATTTTTAAAACAAGTCCCACATTATTCGGTCAATAAATGGAATTTTTACATTTTTTTGTTTAATTTTTGACACCGTTTGCGTGATCAGGCCTACTCCGTATTATATTTCGGTTTTATGACTGAATATGCGGCATCGGGCCGCAAAAGTGTTAATTAATATGTAAGGTGTATGTAAATTTCTTCTATGTCAACTTTAACACACATTAAAAAATTTAATCTGATTTATCATCTGCAGAAGCACATGAGAATGCAATCACAACTTAATAATATGATAACCCTAACATACTATATACTGCAAATACTATATAGGTTCTAATTAATGTTGGAAAAGAATGTGGGCAAAATGGAATACAGTAAAAAGCATTGTGTGTAACACTGGGACCTTCACTTACAGAGATGACGGAGACATTAAAATACAAACACCAGCACAGACATGTCAACACACACGCACAGAGCATTACATATAAGCATAACCTACTGCACTTTAGAAAATATATTTCATGGATGTCCTCTTGAGCTACACAAGGCATTTTTACTATAAACTATTTTAGTATTAAGATTTATGAGTTACCTGTTGCCTCCATAGATTGTAAAACAGTTGGTAGCACCCATGCGGCTCTCTGTTTCCTCAACCATCACACCTCGGAGAGGCAGCTGACCATGCACTTTGAACTGTAGCACTGGAGTTGTAGTTCGGTTTGTGTATAGCAGAACGTCATTAAACTTAAAAAATTCAGAAAAAATATATGAGCGTTTGAGATACCGAATACAATTTTCTACATAAATGGGATAAATATTTTAAAATATGAAAAAAACTAATAGCATTAGAAATAACCTTTTGTTTGGCAAAAATGGTAGCAGTTTCTTACACAAAACCAAGATGTGTTTGTAAGATTAACAATAACCAATCTGACACATGATACTAAATAAGCTTTTTCTGCAGTATAACAGTAAAGCTAGCAAGAAACCAACTCAAGATGATTAAATTGTAGATACAGAAAGAAGTATTCCTGGTAGCTATGCTGGATAAATCTTAGCATACAACCATTATTATGAATATTCTTGTACTGTACTTTCATGTTTCAATGACTCTAAAACACATGATCCTCATTCCGACAGTAAACGTTCTGATGACACTAAAATACACCTTCCAACTCTTATTCACAAACATTCATATATTCATTGCTGTTCCCCATAATCTATTATAAATACATTTTTGTTAAACTATCTCGCTAAAATGGCTACCAACTACAAGGTTACATCAGCCACGGAGTTCTGTTTGGTTTACTAGGGATTAGAGCCAGAACTTGGCCCCCCTTGAAGAGGGTGGGGAAGGGAGGCTCTCTTTGGTCCATTGCCCTTTAGAGCTGGACACTATAAGTAGCTTGTCTGCTGGATTCACAGGGGTTTGGTTCTTTGCATTCTTCACATTTGATGAGTGTACATTATTCTCAGTACTGGTTTCTCTTTCGCTGTCTTACCATCTTCACAGGTGTGCACTGTCGACACTGCCTCCTTCCAGTTGCTTTATGAGGCCTTCAGGCACTTTTATGTAGATTTCTTTGAATCGGCTTGGAATTTGCACCTTCCTCTCTACGTGGCTCCATTTCTGGACCGCGAGGCTCTCATGATGGATGCCTTCCATCTGGACTGGTCGCAGTGGGGGTTTCTTTACTTCTTTCTCCCGGATTAGCTGTTGTGCCAGGTTGGAGCTCTACCAACTCCAGAAGATGGTCTTTCTGGCTCATCTTGCAGCTCCATGTTCAAGAACTTGAACATTGGGCTGCAACAACCCGATGTCCTTCTGAAGAGTGGGAACAAAACAGGCAGGCATCGAGAGGCGCAAAGGAAGGACCCTCAGAAACACCTTTAATTAATGTGGAAGAAGCCTCACTCCACTCAAGCGAGTGGGACAACAGAAACCATGATAAGCCCTCAGTGAACAAAGGGCTGTCTGCCAGCCAGGACAACTCCAGAACATCATAACACATCCAATAAGGAATGGAAGAACTGAACTCAAAAGAGGGCAACTCCATCACTGAGGAGAAACTGGGTCGCACAGGAGGTACACACACATAGTGGCTCCCAGAACTGAAGGGCAAGAGCTATGAGGAGAGGTTAGAGGCATGAAATATGCCAAAACTAGAAGACAGAAGAAAAAGGTGATATGATCACTACGTTCAAAATAGTAACAGGAATTGATAAAATTGATAGGGAAGAATGCCTGAGACCTGGAACTTCAAGAACAAGAGGTCATAGATTTAAACTAACTAAACAAAGATGCCGAAGAAATATTAGAAAATTCACTTTCGCAAACAGAGTAGTAGACGGTTGGAACAAGTTAAGTGAGAAGGGAGTAGAGGCCAAAACCGTCGGTAGTTTCATAGCTTTATATGACAGAGTGCTGGGTAGACGAGACACCACAACCGTAGCTCTCATCCTTTAACTACACTTAGGTAATTACACACTGAGAGCCTCCCAAGCCTTCATGAAGGGAAGTCAAAAAGTCTGAAACCTCCAGAAGGATGTATCTCAGGAACCCAAGGGGTACCTGGAACGAACCCTGGGGAAATTCGAACCTATATCAAACTCATACAGGGAAAGGGAGATACAAAGTGAAGTCTAAGGGAAATGCTTTAAAGGTTGGGGCTGGTTGAAAATAAGACCCAGAAGCCTCCACATGATCATCAGGCTCAACTGCCTCCATGCCCAAGTTGGAAGGCGGGTGGAGGCTGACCAAGCCACATCTCGAGCTATACCTTGCCCCAACCCTAAAACCCTCTGACGCTTTGAGGCTTGAAGCAATGAGAACAGGAGGAGGGCATACCATGACCGAAGCGGTAGGAAGAGGAGTTGTGGATGTAACCATGGTTGAATTAACTAGCAACTCCAAATCACAGTCCCTAAACATCAGCTTGGCAGCTCTGGGGCATCCAACTGGGCACACAACCTAGACAACTGTAAAGCATAAAACCTCAAGTGTAAAGTGGTCGTTGCCTGGAAAATCCTGAACATCATTAGAAGGGTTTGTTAGGCGAGTACCCTGTGGAGAACAAGTCCCATATGACTCGGGGTTGAAGGTGACACTGACCTTGCAGGCAGCATGGCAGAAGCAGAAAGCATGAGCATTGTCATGTGGCATAGACGATGCATAAACCACGAACTTACACATGCCGAGAGCGGGTTCAACGGGAATATCCATTGGACCGCCAAACCCACAGAGGGGCTCCATGGTGTGCAGGGAATGGCCCTGCAGGAAACCCAGGCACTGGGATCACTACACTGGAACCCTGATAAGAAAAGTTCCCCTGATAGCAAGAAGGGAAGTCTTTATGTACAGAAAGATGAAGGGACAAGAGAACTGGTATAAATAGGCCAACCCAGCTCACCAGAGGCTAAGAAGGCCGACCTCAGTGTGCTTGGTTAGGTCACGTGATCCCTAGCCAGCCAAAATTCACACCTGACCAGGGAAGAACAAAAGTCAAAAACAGACTGACTTACCTAGGGTGAAGACTACCACAAGCAAGAAAGCTCTCTAAGGAAGCAAACCCTGAACACTCCAGGAAAGAGAACCCTTTGTGCATATGCAACTCAAAGCACCTTATACTCCTGGCTCATGCAGCACAAATGTGTGTAGGAGTAGCCTCAAAGGCAAAAAACCACCACATAGCTGAAGCAGGAAACAGAAGCCAGAGAGAGAGAGTGGACAGCTGAGGCACTGTAACCATTAGTAAGAACTGCATGTGGAGCAGCTGGCTGACCTGGTCAGCCAGCTGCTAGTGTCATGATTTTCTATCTTTTGTTTACATTTTTGGAGAGTTCTTTTGGCAATTGAGTTATCAATATTTATTATAACCAGCAATGATCTGTTTTGTTTCACTGAGTTTGTGGGTACTTTCTCTGGTGATGGTGAACATAATTAAAATTCACTGACAATTATATCATAATTCCACAGCTCTCTGCACCTCACCAGAAGGGGGCCAGGTACTCTGGTTTGTTGTCCCCAGTAAGCAAATAGAACTCTGTGACTGATGGCACTAAATAGTATGGCACTTAATCAGTGTGACAGCCTCAGGGAGCTGATAGGGGCTCCCTTCAGAAAAGAATATTTTATTAATAAAATCTTTGTATTGTTCATAAAAAATGAAAGGCCTTGAGCATCAGTATCTACCTACCAGGAAAAACATGCGCTGCTGGTACCCTTTACGAGACAGCTTTTGTAAGCAGCCTTCTCTTAAGAATTCCCGGCCAGGCTGTATCAAGTTGTCAATTCCAATCAAGTCACGTTGCAATTCTACCAATTTTACCAAATTTTCCTGCAAGTAGAAATAAAGTGTAATCAACACAAATAAGAATTTACAATGTTTCAAGTATAAATATTATGTATGTAGTATTTAAGCTACTTAACCCCTGAGCTGTGGAAGGTGAGGAGGTGATGGAGGTCAAAACCATCAGTAGTTTCAAAGCTTTATAAGATAGAGAGTGCTAGGAAGATGGAAACTTTCATCTTATAACTACACTTAGGTAATTACATAGTTAATTATGTAATATTGTTAAAATCATTCTCTGATCATGGGAAAAAACCAGCGTTGAATGTAATGAAACACTATTTTCTGGATAGAGCCCCGGAGGCTTCCTGGAGCTATTGGAATGATATTAGCTAATATTAGTGCAGGTCTTCAGTCATATGGAATTGTGATGCCTACTGGAGACCACTAGCCAGAACTTGGTCCCCTCAGAGAGGTGCAGGGAGCAATGGCCTATGAAACACTCTTGAATGAAAGTTTTCATGTCTGCCTTCGACTGGGGGTTAGACACCCAGAAAGGTGGGTGACTGAACATCCGGAGACCGAACAAAGGCTAGAAACTCCCCCAAAACAAACAAAAAACCAGCGTTGAATGTAATGAAACGCCATTTTCTGGGTGAGTCCCGGAGGCTCCCCGGAGCTATCCCAGGCTGATATGCTAATGTCAGACTTTGGCATCAGTCATGTGTATGGAGTTCTTAGGCCTACCGGGGACCACGGCCAGAACCGGGCCCCCTCAGAGAGGCAAGGGGAGCAATGGCCTATAGAAGCCCCCGTGTGGTTGGAAGCATTCTATGTCTGCCATCGACCGGAACAGGCACCCAGAAAGGTAAGCGCCTCAAAACAAACCCCTATTCTGGTTAAAATTGCTACCAAAAACCAAACTAGTGGATAGAACTCCCCAACCGAAAACAAGCAAACTAGTGTGACGTCACACACCACCGAGCAGCTGTCTGCGCAGCTCCCCCCTTCCCGGGAGGGGGAAGGGGGAGCCCCAGACCCCCCGCGCCGGCTACCCACACCTCAGTTCTTGAGGCTGGATGTCAAAAACGAGAAAAACCGCAGACCGGAGGGAGGGAGGGATGCCGGGGAGCCTCCGGGACTCACCCAGAAAATGGCGTTTCATTACATTCAACGCTGGTTTTCTGGGGGGAGCCCCGTCGGCTCCCCGGAGCTAACTACCCACAGACAGAAAAAAGAGGGACTTACCCGGGAGGCGGTCATTGCTCACTCCTCAACTCGAAGCCGAGACAACTGGCTGCAACCGCCGACTCAAAGCAACACAGGCTCGACGAGGCCCAGGGACATTCACAAGGTAACGAGCAGCCAGGACCCTGTTCGACCGCCAAAATCCCCGCGCCCAAATATCAGACCAAGACATATTCCCAAAGACAGCAGCAAGAGCTGCGAACTTACGAACGTCATGGGCACGGGGTAGACCGCAGGCTGGCTGGACTTAACACTTTCGCGCTTTAGATTAGAGATAACTCGTCGCCGTTTTCTCTTACGATTCCGCATAACAGCCGAGTTTTCTCGTCCATCGAAAAAATATTTCTATAAATTCCATTTTTAAACCGAAATGGATGGGGATACTTTTGTTTTGTAGGGAATTTATTTGCGAATGTTTTGGTACCAGAATGAATATTATATCACATAAACTTCTATGAGTAAAAAAAAAATACACAAAGTATGTTTGGGGGTGTGGCGAGCGTGTGGCAGTAGGTTCCCTTTAGCCGTTGATATATCCAACACGTGGGAAATATTTGTATGTGTTATGTATATGTCTGTGTAGGGAATTTTACTGCGATCACTGTCATACAAATTATAAAATGTTTCAACAAGTATAAACATGACAAACATCAAACGAACGAAAACAATGCGTTCGTTTCTGCCGCGAACGCATACTGAGCGACGTGGTTCTATATTTGGCGCTTCTCTTACACATGCTTTGTACAAATGTTATACAGTTCATCTTATAGAAAATTTTATTGCGAACACATTGGTATAAAAAAGAAATACGTACATAGAAAAGTAGGGTCAGGAAACGTATAAACTTTCCAAGCATGATTTCCCCCCTGTGTTTTCGCCAGTGCGCTCGCGGCTAACTACTCTCCACTTCACACACTCTTGCGGGTGGGCAATTACCTATATTAAACATTCATATGCATATGTCCGTGTAGAGAATTTTATTGCGATTCCAATGATACCAAAATTAGCGATGTAGGACAACTGTAGGTTTCGCAACCATTAAGAGAGTGGAAACATTTTGTTGCTGTTTGGCGCTCTCGGCGAGTGATCTGCATAGTTTTTTATTTGGTATTGATACTCCTTATGCTTGGGCGGCATTTTATAGGTATGCTCTTATAGACAATTTCATTGCGAACACAGTGATACCAAATTTAAATACGTGCGCCTTCAATTATTGTCAGGACAGTCAAAAGAGTGTACACTTTTCGGTCTTACCGCGTAGGCGCGCGAAGTGCCGAAAGTATCTGGGGTATTGTTTTTTTTGAGCGCCGAGAGCGCGAAAGTGTTAATAACCCTGCGGACGACCTGAGAGACCCGAACCCGCGAACAGGGAAGAAGGGAAATCGGATCCACCCACAGCGCGTCCCCAGACACAGAAGCTGTGGCGCGCAAATAACGGCGAAGCGCCGCAACCGGACACAAAACATGATGCACCCCCGGCCTGACCAACCAAGCATCAACCACCCATGGACCCCTCTGGAACGCAGAGGAGACGGCTGCAAACGAACAAAACAATCACCACGACCAAAAGAGCAGAAACCCCTGCGCCGGAGGAGAGCATGAAGCTCCCCTACCCGACCCCCAGAGGCCAAAGCCAACAAGAAAAGTGCCTTGGAAAAACAATCCTGGACCGAAGGGGCCACAACGAAACGAGGAGACGAAAGGAAAGCGAGCACTCTGTCCAAAGACCAGGATGGCTCAGGCGACGCATGAGCAGGCCAGAGGTGAAACAATGCACGAGACAGCTTGCAAAACGGCGCAGACATAACATCGATACCGAAAGCAAGCTGAAGCGGCTCCGCCAGCGCCGCACGATACGAAGCGACAGTGTTAGGCATAAGATGACGGTCCTGAAACAACCACGAGAGGAAGGACAAGACCACCCGAACAGACAAGGAACTAACACGACGAAGACGCAAAAAGAAACGGAAGGACCGCCAGGAAACTTCATACTGCCGCCGAGAAGAAGCCCTCAGGTGGGACACCAACAAGGAGGCCACCTGATCACCATAGAGATGATGATAGAATCGAGTCAAAAAAACCACACGCGAAGACTCGAGGAGAAGATCGAACCAGCCACGTGACATACCGGCCCGATCTGCTGAAAGAGGCGGAGCCGCGGGAAAACCCTCGGGTTCGGACACCAAGCAACCAGCTCCTGAAACCAAGGCTGGGCCGGCCACCAAGGGGCCAGAAGGACAACTCTCCCCTGGTAAGTATCTAAGCGAGTCAGGACCTGGAGCAACAGCCGAACCGGGGGAAAGAGGTACAGGAACCCCCACCTCGACCAGTCTAGCCGAAAGGCATCGACCCCTACGGCCTCGCGATCGGGGAAGGGCGCCGCATAAACTGGAAGATGCAGTGACCACGCCGACGCGAAGAGGTCCGCTTCGGGGCGCCCGAACGTCTGGCAAAGCCAACGGAAGGACTTGTCGTCGACCGTCCACTCCGTGGAGAGGGGAACGAAGCGAGACAGGGCGTCGGCCAAGACGTTGGACACGCCCCGTACGTGAACCGCCAGGAGAGCCAAACCCCGAGAACTCAGCAGACGAGTGACCCGAAGCGACCAACCCCAAAGAGACAAGGACCGCATCGAACCCCCGCGGTTCAGGCAATGAACCACCGGAGAGCAGTCCAAATGGAGCCGAATCGTCGATCCGCGGGCCACCCGAATCCTCCCCAGAGCAAACCACACTGCCGCGAACTCCCTCACCGTGCTGTGAGCTCGACGGAAGGACGGATCCCAACGCCCCTGGCCGGCCTGGTGAGCACTGGTCACAAAACCCCAGCCGAGAGACGACGCATCCGTGTACACATTGAGCGAGGGCTCGGGTAGGCGCCAAGGCACTGAACCCCGAAAAACCCGAAGAGGAAGCCGGTGACGCAGCAACCAATGCAAGGCCCCCGGGGGTCGAACTCTGCGATCGCGAGAGAGGCGGAAGGGGGAACCCCGAAGGAACCAGAACAGCCGTTGAAGCCAAACCCGACCCAGCGGGTAGACCACCATCGCGAAGTTCAGGCTCCCGCACAGCCCCTCGAGCAACCGCCGGGTGACCCGAGGGCCCTCCAGAAACAGATGAAGGCGGGACCGCAGCCGCAGGAGAGACTCCGGAGGGAGAGACAAGGAGGCGGTTCGAGAGTCCCAAACGAGACCCAGCCAAGTCCGAACCTGAGAGGGAACCAGATGGGACTTCCTCCAGTTCACCAAGAACCCGAACTCTGCGAGCTGGGAAAGAACCAAATCCCTGGCTAGCAAGCAAGCTGACTGGCTGGGAGCCCAAACCAGCCAGTCGTCGAGGTAGGCCAACACCCGAACACCTAGGAGACGCAAACGAGCCACCACAACCAGTGTAAGGCGCGTGAACACGCGAGGTGCCAGGTTCAACCCGAATGGGAGACAACGAAAGCGGTAACTCAGACGCCCCACAACAAAATCGAGCCAGTCCCTGAACCGCGGATGAATCGGGACATGCCAATAAGCGTTCCGGAGGTCCAAGGACACCATCCAAGCTCCCGGCTCCAAGAGGAGCCGAACCTGAGACAGCGTAGTCATCCGAAAGGAGGGGCAATGAACCCAGGGGTTCAGACGGGACAAGTCCAGAATGAACCGCAGGTCCGCGCAGTCCCGTTTCGGAACCGGAAACAGAAGGGAAGCCCGACCGGGGGAGCCGGTCGGCCGAGCGGACAGCACGCTGGATTTGTGATCCTGTGGTCCTGGGTTCGATCCCAGGCGCCGGCGAGAAATAATGGGCAGAATTTCT